ATTATATATATATATATATATATATATATATATATATATATATATATGTTTTATATATTTTTATATTTATTATTTATTTATATTTTATAATTTTTTTAATATTTTTAGTTTATATATATAAATGTTTTTTATAACTAATTATTACATAATTTTACAAAGTCCAAAATCAGTTAATTTAATATGTCCGTTTTTATCAATTAAAATATTATCAGGTTTTAAGTCTCTATGTATATAATTCATTTTATGTAAACTTTCAATTGCTAGAATAATCTCACTTATATAAAATTTAGCCTCTTTTTCATTTATATTATCTTTCTGTAATAAAAAAGACATTAAATTACCTCCTTCAACATATTCCATGACTAAATATAAATTATTATTATCTTAAAAAGAACAATAAAATTGAACTATCCATTTACATGTATTTGTTGAAAGGACATCTTTTTCTATCCGAATGTGATTTGTTTGATTTCTTTATATTACTTTCTTTTTGCTGATTTTTTTAATTGCCACTTTTTGGTCTGTTTAAATATCTTTACATAACCAAACTTCTCCAAAACCACCTTTTCCGATTATTTTTAAAGGTTAATAATCTTTTATAGTTTTTCGTTTTATTTATCTTTTATTTATTTGTTTCTTAAAAAAAAATAAAAAAATATATACTTTTCACGATAAGTATAAAACTATTCTTTTAAAATTTCTTTTTCAAGTTCTTATTTTTATGTTTTTTATATATTTAAATTTTCAAGTTTTTATTAAAATTATTCCCATAATTAATTAAAATCAGTTCTTTTTTGTTGTTTTTGTTCCATTTTTTCTAAAACAAACAAAAAATTAATTTTTATTTTGATATTATTTATAACATAAACTATATCTAACTTTCTATATAAATTTTTGCGTTTTCGACTTTGTCTTTTGTGTGATGTGAAATAGGCTTTTTTTTCATTTTTATATTATTTTTTAAATATAAAATAAAAATTTTTATAAATGTTTGTTTTTTTTTAAAAAAAAAAACAAAAACAAAAACAAAAACAAAAACAAAAACAAAAACAAAAATAAAATAAAATTAAAAAAATAAAAAATTATAAAAAAAATAAAAATATTAAACTTAAAGAAAAAATATGCTTATAAACATATACAAAAAAAGAAAGTACATATATTTTATAAAAAAATAAAATTATCATTAACATTCTCCTTCTGAAAATCTATCAACATTATTAGTTCCACAAGCTTCACAATTATTATTAAATGTCTATTAGGTTAATTCCTATTTATTTTTTGAATTATCGAAATAACCACAAACCGGTTTATAAGTTGATGGACAATCTAAATATTATTACTTAGGATCACAAAATTTCTAACCTTCAAATTATTTACACTTTTCTTATGAAAAATATGCAACCCTATCTCTACATGCCCAACATCTATTTATATATTCTTTTCTTTCGAAAAACCTTTAACAGAACGTTCTCCGCAAGCTCTCTTATATTCTTTATTCAAATCAATTATTTGTCTAGTAGTACAAATAAAATTACAAGTTTATACGGCTTAAGATAATGCAAATATTGATAAAAATAATAAATATTTTATATATTACATTAATAATTTTTTATAAAAAATGTGTTTTATTTTTAATAATTATTCAGATTTTATATAAATAAATTTTAATAAAAAATAAAGTTTTTTTTACAGTTATTTTTGTTGTCTATATTTATTATTTTTCTAGAATAAAAAATACGAAATTTTCAGTTTATCTGATAATAAACTCTATTTAAAATTATTATATTAAAGAATTATAAAAATTAAAATTATTTTTTTATATTATTAATATTTAAAATAACTTAAAATATTATTTAAATAATATAAAATATAATTATAAATTAAATTATATTAAATATCTATGCTTATATATTCAAAATCGTTATTATAATATTAATATTATAATTATTCTTTCAAATTATCATTTTAAAAGATAAAATGAGAAATTTGATAATATTAAAATAAATTTTTATTATCAATATATATATAAAAATATATAAAATATATTATTTATATTATTTATATTATATATATATATATATAAAATATTATATATTATATATTATATATTATATATAATATATATAAATTTAATAAAATTCTTCATTTATTTTTACATTTTTTATTTATTTTCCTTATTATATTTTTTATATAATTAATTTTAATAATAATAATATTAATTTTTACCAAACTTTTAATAAAATAAAAAATGTAATAATTATAAATTTTAATAAAAGTATTTATATAATTTTTAATTTTATTTTTAAATATCAAAATAATATACATGTTTTATTATTAAAATCATATAAAAATGATTAATTAAAAATTATATTGTTTATATTATAAAAATAAAATAAATTAATCAATTAATAAATGTTTATATAATTAAATTTTAAGAATTTATTAAAAAAAATTAAAAACTATTATAAATATATATATAATATTTTATTGAATAAAATATTTCAAAATTTTTATAAGATATTCTATTTTTTTTTATTTTCAAAAAAAAAAAAAATATTAGATTTAATAAAATCCATAAATATTAGTTTACAATTTGTGTTTTTTTTAATATCTAATATACTTTATAATTAGCTAATTATTTAAAAAATTAAATAAATAAAATAACTTTTTGTTTCATCTTTTTTTTTCATAATCTTTATGTTTATGTTTATGTTTTTTTTTATTTTTTATTTTTATCTTTTGAATCTTTATCTTTTTTATGTTTTGAATCTTTTCTTTTATCACTTTAAAAGCTTGAACTTCTTTTATAAGTTTAATTTTATTTTATTTTACTAATTCTACTTCTACTTCTACTATGACTTTTATTTCTTCCTCTATTTTTATTATTATTGTTATAATTTTCTTCATTTTTTTTTAAATCATTATCTTATTAAAATAAATATTTTTTATTTATTTAAAAAAAAAAAAAAAAAAAAAAAACTTTTTTTTTAAAAAATTGAGGGGGATCTTTCAAGAATATTTTCAATTTTTTTAATTTATTCTCTTTTTTCCATTAATTTTTTTTAAGCATCTAAAATTTTATGCATTTCTTCTTATTTTTTTTAAAGTTCAGCTTTTTTATTTTCAATTAATTATTTTGGCTAATAATAACAAAAAATTAAAATAAAAAAATTAAAAAAAAAAAATACAATTCCATTTTTAGATTCCATTGCATCCAATAACAATCTCCATAAACAACTCATAAAACTTTTAGCATTTTTCTCCAAAAATCCAGTTACTCTTATAGCAATAAGTTTTCCATTTGGACCTCTATCATTATCTATATAAGATTCTAATTCGTTAATGATCATGGAAGGTATTACATCATCATCGTAACCTAAAATATCATTAACTTATTATTCAACCCAAGGCAGTATAAAATTAAGATTTATCTATCATTATTTTTAATTTATTATATTAAAATATTATTTTATTTTAAAATAAAAACTTTCTTTAAGTCTATTTTTTAATCTAAAATTTCATCAAAAACCATAGTTTTCATTAATTTTTTCTCTTTGTCGGTAAATCTTGCATCTTATTAATGTGTTGTCCCGCGAAAAAAACCTCCTTACATATAATTATATATTTTATATTATTTATTTATGTTTTTTAAATACTATAAAAAAATAATAAATAAAATTTATTTATATTTAATATATACATTTAAATAATATTATTATATGTTTATTTTAATTTTCTTTTTAATTTTGTGTCTATCTATAAATAAAAATATATATAATGTATTTAATAAAATATTAAAATAAATATATAAATATATATATATATATATATTTATATATAAATATATATATTTATATATATATATATATATATATTTATTTATATATATCAATTTATTATAATTTTTTTATATTTTTATAAATTCACAATTTCTAAATTTATTTCAAAAATAAAATTAAATGATAAGAAATATAAAAAATTAAAATATAGTTTTTAATATATTTTCTCTCTTTTAATTAATTTCATTTAAGTAAATGTTCAACAGCTTGTCTTTCTTCTAATAATTCCTTAGTAGTTACATCAATTTTAGCTTAAGAGTAAGCATCCACCTTTAATCCTTAGACAATCTTATAGTTTCCATTTTCGGTAGTAACAGGGAAAGAGAATATCAATCCTTTTGGTACTCCATAAGATCCATCAGTATGTACTGCCATAGATTTCCAATGTTTATGACTTCCCAAAACCCAATCTCTTACATGAACAATGGCAGCATTACCAGCAGAGGCAGCAGAAGAAAGTCCTCTAGCATCTAAAATTTCAGCACCTCTTTTTTGTACTTTAGGATTGAAATAACTATTAATCCATGTATCATCTAATTAAGGTTTAATTGGTTTTCCATGTACAGTAGCATGTGTAAGATCAGGGTACATAGTTGGAGAGTGATTGCCCCAAATACAGAAATTTTGAATATCATCAACATGACATTTTAATTTTTGAGCAATTTAAGTAAGTCCACGATCATGGTCGAGTCTGGTCATGGCAGTGAAGTTTTCTTTAGGAATATCTTTAGCATAATGAGAAGCAATTAAACAGTTTGTATTAGCAGGGTTTCCTACAACAATAACTTTTATATTTCTGTTGGCATTATCATTTATGGCCTTTTTTGTAAGAATATATTTATTATTAAATAAATTGCATTAATTTATATATATATTTTTTATTCATACATATATATATTTTATATTTTACTTTTCCAGTGTCAACAAAAATCTTTCCATTGTCCTTAATTAAGTCACTTCTTTCTTACCCTTTGCCTCTTGGTTTTGAACCTACTAATAAAGCGTAGTCAGCATCTTTGAAACCTATTGATTAGTTGTCAGTTAAAATAATGTCTTAGAGTAATGGGAAGGCACAATCGTTAAGTTCCATAGCTACTCCCTATAATTTATTAATAATATTATTATTATAATTATTTATATATATAATGTAAATGTAATTATTTTATTTTTACTTTAAGAGCGTTTTATGCCTAAGGAAGTTCGATCAATTGTAAGATTACGGGCTAGTCTGGTCCTAATAATTAACCAGAAGCTATTCTGAAAACTGTAGCATAACCAATGTTTCCGGCAGCTCCTGTAACAGCAACTCTAACTGGAGGTTTTAATGCTTTATGCTTTTTTTTATATATATATATAAATATAAAATTATTTAGTGTTTTTTTATTTGATTAATTTTAATTAGTTTCTATATATATAATTTTATTATTTACTTTGCTGAAAGATTAAGATTAAACTTAAGATAAAAGTTTGGCGCTATTTTAAATGATTTTAGAGTTCATTTTTTTTTTTCTTCTTATTTTTTATTTTACTATTTTAATTTATTAATATTTTATTTGTATTTTATTTGTATTTTATTTATATTTTATATTTATAAATAAATATATATTATATTTTATTTAAAAAAAATAATAAATATTAATTTTTGTTATTTAATATCTTTTTAGCAATTAATACGTAATATTATAAAAATTGTTTTTTTTAATTAATTTTCTAATAAAATTTTTTAATGTATAACAACAATATATTTTTTAATATTTATTTATATTTAAATAAAAAAGTTAAAATTCTTAATTTTTATTTATTATATTAATAAAAATAAATATTAAATTAATATATTATAAAAATATATAATGTTTCTATTAATATTAATAAAATTATATATATTTATTATAATTAAATTTTCTTTATTATTATATAAAAATTTGTAAAATAATTATTATAATAATAATTTAAAATATTATTTTCTTATTTTTATATTTTGTATTATAATAATTTAAAATTACAGCATTCATTAGAATTTTAATATTTAAACTTTTTAATTTTTTCATTAAAATAGAATATGATTATAATATTTTTTAGATTTTTTGACACTACTACATATGTAAATTATAATAGGTCTCTTTCACAATTATATTAATATATTTTTATTTTTTATACTAAATAAACGTATTTTATTGTTTTTATATAGTTGAATTAGTATATTTTTTATTTACTTGTATTATTTAGTTATAAAATATTGAATTAATATTTTTTATTGAATATAACAATTTAAATATGTATATAAAAAACTAAAAATTTTTTATTATATATAAATATTTAATTTATTTATTTTACAATAAAATTTTTAAAAAATATCAATATAAAAAAAAAAATAGAAAAAATTAAAATTATTATTTATATTTTATTTTTTGTTATTAAAAATATTAATTTTGTCTTTTCTATTTTTTTTTTATTTATATTAGAATTTTTTTTTTTTATAATTAATTTATATTAAAAGATATAAATTTAAAATAATAATAAAATACTTAAAATATAAAATTACAAATTATTTAATAAAATAAAAATAATTTTATATATTATAAAAATAAATTTAAATTAAAATAAATATAAAATAAAAATAAAAATAAATATAAAAATAAAAATAAAAATAAGAATTTTTTCTTTTTTTTTTTTTTTACTTTTTTTAAATTAATTTTTTATAATTTTAAATTTTTTTTTTTTTTTTTTTTACTTTTTTTTTAAATTAATTTTTTATAATTTTTTTTTTTTTTTTTTTTACTTTTTTTAAATTAATTTTTTTTAATTTAAACAATTTTTTTTTTTTTTTCTGTTTTTATAGAAATAATGTATTTATATAATTATAACTATTTTTTTTCAAATATCCATTTCTTTTATATATTAATTCATATCTTTCTAACATACAGGACAATTATCATTTACATTAAACCATTATTTAGAACATTTAACATGCATATTGTGACTAAATATTTAATTTTTAAATATAAAAAATATTAAAATTTTACTTAGATTGACAAGGAAGTACTAAAATTTTATCGTCTTCATTATATTCATTTTTGCAAATAACACAATTAAAATTTTCAATACACTCCATGGTGGACATAATTTATTTTGTTAAAAATGAAAAAGAAGAATATTTTTTCTTTTTTTTATGTAAATTTTCACATAATAATAATAATAAAAAAAAAATATTTACTAAATCTAAATTGCTAATTAATGCCTATTTCTCGTATAATTTTTATTATAAATAATTTTTTATTATTATTTCGAATAAATCAAATATATTAAATAAATAAATAAAATAACTGGACAAATAACAATTATACTTAAAAAAAAAAAAAAAGCATCAAATAATGATAACAAATCTATTTTTTTATTTATAAAAAAAATATTTATCTAGTTTTTTTTTTTAATGTTAATTAATTTTACTGTTAAAAAATATAAAAAAGATAATTTATAAAGTAATAAATAATAAAAATCTTTAAGAATAATTATTTACATAAAACAATATACCATTAATAATAAATTGAATCTTTTTCAATAAAATAAAATGAATATATATAAGTATATAAATATATATATATATATATATATATATTATATATGTATATTTATTTTATTTACAATGTTAATGTTATTTATAATTAAAATTATATAGATTCTTATTGTGATTCATAGAATATCTACCTGATATAAAAAGCATATTTAACAGTTTATTTATAATTTTTAATACATAGTTAATCTTTCATAGTTAATTAATACTTTAAAACTCTAAATTTAACTATAAAATCTATAATAGAATAGCATGCTAAATAAAATTTACAGTTATATAAAATTTTACTTGCTTCACATTTTGTATCTTATATAGAAACAATCATAACAAATGTAAATATTACAAAAAAATCTATAAGCATATTAATAACTTTATTATTAAAAGAATATTCATTATATTAATGTTTAGCTTCATCAATATATTTTTTAAATATTAAATTAAAAACTAAGAATATATATTATTTTCACTGTTTCCTTATTTGTATTTTCTACAAAGTTTGATAATTTTTTTAGTTTATTCTTCATCTATTGGTTATTAATTATACTATTGTAAGTTGTAAAGATAATAATAATTCATATTTTTCGGAAAAATATATTTATTTAATATTTAATAACTAAAATTAGATATATGTATATATATATATATTAAATTAAAATAAAAATATATATTAATATATAAATATATATATATATACATATATAATTATATGTTTTTAATTTATTTTAAAAAATTATATATTATTTATAATTTTTATTAATTATAATATATATATATATTAATTTTTTATTTACTATTTAATATAAATAAAAAAAACTTATTATTGTAATATGAAAAAGTAATAAAATTAAAGATAGAATTTATTATAAAATGAATTTGAAGATATTGATAATTAATAAAATAAAAAAAGGAAAAACTATTAAAAATGTACTATTATCGATTTTTTAAAATAAATAATTATTTAATACAAAATTAAAATTTCAATTAATATTATTAAATAATGGTTTAAAATAATTAAATAATTTACTTAAAAAAACAAAGATTTTGAATTATTTTTAACTTAAAGAGAAAAAATATATGAAAAACTTATAAAATTTTCAGAAATTAAGAATTTATTTTTAACAAAATTTAATAAAAATGATTAAAAAAATAAAAATATTTTGTGTTTTTTACTTTCTTTTTATATATTTTAATAATAAGATTAAGAAGAAAATTAATATCTTATACATATAGATGAGAATATAGACTATGAAATTGTCTAAGATATTTTTTTAATTCCTTAATAAAAAAAGAACTTATAAAAAATCAGTTTACACATTTTAGATTCTTATTTAATAAAAAATGTTATATTATCTTTAGATTTTAATCTTTTATAATATTTTGAATTAAATCTAATTAATAGCATTTAATAAATAAATGGAGAAAATATGTTAATTTTAATTGAAAAATTATAAAGGAATAAAAATTTAAATTATTTAGTTTTAAAAATAAGTAATATAAATTTTTAAGGAAATTAATTTAATGAAATGACCGAATAAATTTAAAAAATGAAAAGTATTTTATGTTTATATATATAATTTGAAAAACTTCAAAATATAAATAATATAAATTTTTCGCTTTTAATTAAAGCAATATGTGAGAGTCAAAAAATAGAAATAAGTATAGATTTTAGTTCTTAAAAGTATATAAAAATTAATTAATTGTTTTTTGAAGATTTAAAATATTTACTTTTTAATAAAAATATAAAATTCATAAAAATTTTAGACCTTTAACTCAATTTTTAAAGCGAGTTAAATAATTAAGAATTTTAGATGGCTAATACTATTTTATTTAATAATAAATAAGCATTAGATTATAATAATTAAATTCTAATAAATACTTATTTTAAGTTTTTTAGTTAAATTATTTTTCAAAACTTACCTTATGTTACTTAATTTAATTTTTGTTTTAAATAGATAAGTTTATTAAGTTGTATTTAAGCTATAAAAACTTTAATTTTGTTAAAATTAAATTAATTGCTTAAGCATTTAAATAAAATAAAATATTACATAAATCAAGAATTGAAATATTATAATAAATTTTAGAGTTTTACGAGATTATAATATTATGATATTTTTTTTATAAAAATAAAAAGAAAAAATGTAATATATAATCTAATAAATAATTTTAAAATTATTTTATAATATATGTTTTTTGTTTGTGTAATTAATATTAAAATATTTATGATCTTCTATATTTATATATATTAAAATTACTATTTTAGTAAAATATTGAGAAATAAAAAATTCTATTTTAATATATATCGTAAATAAATAAATATGTGTTTTTTTTTGTTATAGAGAAAGAAAATAGACTATAAAAGTAAATATTAAAAAGTTTATAAATAAATACGAAAAAATATAGCTTTTTTTTAATGTTTTGTATACATTATTTGTAAAATAAATAATATTTTATAAAAATAAAAAAGTAATCTTATATATAAATAATTAATTTTAATATTTTTTTAAAAAATATATATATATATATATTCTTTAATTAAAATTAAATTATAATTTTTATATTTAATTAACAAAAAAAATAAAATAAAAAGGTACTATTAATGTATAATATTTTTTAATTTTAAGATGACAATTGTTATAGTGTATAAAAATGTTGTTTAAATAACAAAAATAATATAGGAAATTTATTAATATATAGTAACAGGTTATAATATTAACAAAAAGAACAAAAATTAAATATAATGTTTGATTAAATAATAAAAATAAAATTAAAAGAAAATATGATTCCTGAATGTATAAAAATAAAAACAGACAAAGATTAGTTTATTTTTTTTGGGTTAAATTCTCCGTTTAAAACCCTAAAATAAATAGACGAATATTTTCATATTTATTAGAATTTATGAGTAGAAGAAAATTTTGTTTAAAATAAATCAAATAATAATGATAATATTTAAAGCAAAATTATTACCAAAAATAATAACGTTGAATAATCTTATTTTATGTTAGATACTGATTAAAATACAAATGAAGATTTTTCGTAAATATTCTCTTTATAATAGTCTATTATTTAAGATAATTATAGTTATATTTAAGATAATACTAAAGATAATTAAGATTCTCCTTAAATACTAGACAATTTATAATATTAAGAATAATTATAAAGTTAGATTGAAGAGAAAATATATGAAAAATAATAAGAAATTTATTAATAAAAATAAATAGAAATTATTTAAAAATAAGAAAATGATTAATAAACAGAAAATATAAAAAACTAATATAGTAAAGATAAGAAATATAAAAATAAGGAAAAAGTAAAAGATATTATTTTATCTTTAAACTAATATAAAAAAAGTGAATAAGATTAATAAATAGATAAAAGTTATTTTTTCTTTTTATTTAAAATATATATTTTAAAATAAAAAAAGAAGAAAAATTTTAAATAAATAAATAAGAAGAAATATAAATTTAAAAATAAGAAAAAAATATTAATTAAGAATATTATGAAAAAAAAAAATCTTAATAAAACTAATTATAACTTATTAATTATTAATTAAATAAAAGAAGTTAAAACATTTTATAAAATTTATAAAGTGAAATTAAATAATATTAAATATAAGAAGAACTTAAGATAGAAAATATATCCATATAAGAGTTCTTTAATATGTTTTTTTCAGAAAATACTTTCGAAAATTTCAAAAATTTTACTTAATATTATATATAGGAACTTTTGTATGCCTAAAACATTACTTTTTCTTAAATTAAACCTAGTCCACCTTTATTTTTTAAATAAAAAGGAAATGAAAACATATAGTAATTGATAAATTTTGAGCTTTTTTCTTAAAGAAATTTCCAGTTTATATTATTTAAAGAATAGATCAATATGGAAGAAAAAATATATTGGGTTCGTGAGAATAATATAATAATTTTTAGAAAATTTAGTTTAACCAAATACCAGTTTTAACCCAATATAATGTACATAATAAAACAAGAAGAAAACAAAAGTTTAAAAATTAAAAACGGATTTTTTATTAAATTCGATAAGTTTTGTTTTATAAAAAATCAAATTATTAAAAATGCTTAAGTTTATTATAATAGTAGGTGGATTGAATTAAAAAATTTACTCGTAAATTATTCAAATGAATATTTAAATAAAAGAGACGATAAATAAATAAACTATAAGAAATTAGAAACTTTTCAATTAGAATAATTTGAATAAATTGATGAAAATTCAGAACTTTTATCGCTATAAGATTTTTCTAAATAAAATACAAAAATAAATAAATAGGAATGTTGTATTTTTTGAACTTATATTATATGTATATATTTAAATCATTTATATATAATTGTATTTTAATCTTTAAATATAAAATAAATATATATTTATATATATAAATATATATTTATATATTTATATATTTATATATTATTATTTATTTTTTATATTTCATTTATTTCTTTTACAAAAATTTATAAAGATATTTAAATTATTATTTTATATAATATTTTTATAAATTAAAAAAAAACATTTTTAAAAATTGATATTGAAATTTAAAA